AACAATGAGATATGCATCTGGTATCTCCTATACTGTAAAGGGTTGGAAAAAGATTAACCACCCTAACCTGCATTGAATGTGGGTATGATTTGAACCAGTATCATTTGTCCATCACCTCTGACAATTCTAGCCAGGTGTTTCTGGTTAGGGTTGTCAAGAACCCATAGTGGAGTACTCTGATGTCCAACGTGAGAAGTAATATCTTCTGTTAGATACTCGTGATACATCTGTGACATCATAGATTAAAGGTTGCCAAATTTAAGAAATGTAATGTCCTATTTATCTGTCACCCACTATCATGTCTCATTCAATCTTCGATAATTTATGTCATCTTGCCAAGAGCAAACATCGCCAAACACACTGGATAGCATTAAAGATGACATAATTTTTGAGAAAGAAGGACAAGGTGATCTCTACGAAGGACAATGACATGACAAAGATGTTAACTCCGTTGACAACATACATGAAACCGTCACGATGTCTAACTTTGATATGGACAGCACTGAAGAAAAATCAAATATGCTTAATATCTATTTGAAGACTTTTTTTTCTTCTTCTTTGAAACAAATAATGTTTAGTTAATAATTTCAACTCTTTGTTTCATATTAATTTGAAACAGAGGTAAAGTACTTTTTGGTCATACTGTTCCAAATTTAGTAATGCACATAGTTGGAAAAAGTTAATATTTAGTTGTTATGTATAATATGCCGCCTTAACTTTGCCTTAAAAATATGGGGGGGGGATTATCCATGTGCGTGCATTATACATGAATAATCATGATAGTCATCAAAGTCCTATCTTAATGCCATATCTTATTGTCCTATCTTAATGCCATATCTTATTGTCCTATCTTAATGCCATATCTTATTGTCCTATCTTAATGCCATATCTTATTGTCCTATCTTAATGCCATATCTTATTGTCCTATCTTAATGCCATATCTTATTGTCCTATCTTAATGCCATATCTTTGACAGATTGTTTCAGTTCTGATCTTTTGCTGATGATATTTTCTTCAAAAGGAAATATTAATGACAGAGAGTTCTCAATTAATTAATGAGATCATAAGATCAGGATGTTGGTTGGCTGTTGACTGAGTGTACACATATAGTAGCAGAAGTGGAAGAGAAATTGATTCTTGTAGAAAATGTTAATGCTTTGTAGTAAAAAAAACAATAGAATTTTCTACAAAAATCAAATGCACAGTAACTATAAGCAAGACAAATCTTCAATTAGAAACACCATAAAAGAAATACACAACTCTAGTCAAAAAAAAAAAAAAAAAAAAAAAAAATTATTTATTACAAAAACTTTAAAACCACTAACCTCATCATCAAAAATAATAATTCACCTGCAAGATCTATAATTACAGAGAACCAATATTATTTATGAATATACCTATCCCTTAAGGAGCTGTGTTTCTGACTAATCCTAATTTGTAAATAATTATATTGGATACTTTAGAACATCCCTAACAAGAAGACTCATGTTACATCTGACCATAGCTCAATTAGGCTTTATTTAAATACAGATGAAGACCTACCAGACTAACAGTGACATACTCATTGATAATGCAAATATAATAGCATTATTCACATGTAAAAAAAAAAAAAAAAAAAAAAAAGGCTAAAAATAATGGAAGCATTATTAATAAAATAAAAGAAAAAGCCAATACTTAATAATATCAACTATGAACATGGCCACAATATGCAGACTGTATTTGGAAAATAAAACATTCCTATAACATTAGATACATACATAAAACAATGCATATATTCAGTTAAAAGTAAAATAAAATTCATCCTTGATAATGTCTAAAAGCATAGAAAATGCTTAAAAAACATTTGGACAATTTTTATACAATTTACGTCCTGAAAAGAAAAAAATTATACGAACACATAAGAAATTATATCAAAAACTCAACCACCAGAACTTATTAGTTGTTTTCAAGAAAACTTGCATATATGATTTAGTACAAGTAAAAGATTTGTCACTTAGCTGATTGATTTTACCTACAGCATCCTCACTCCAGTTTCATAGATGGACCCATCCATCCACTCATCAGGGGTATCAGCAATTGATTGCTTATACTCCTCAATTTTTCTTTTTTATATACACTTGTCATTGGTGCAAGTTTTTGTGTGCATATTTGTGTGTGTGTATATATATATATATATTAAAAATTTAAATCACTAACAAACATCAAATTAAATTCTTTGTAGACAGTTTAGACATTCAAATTTATATCAAACATAATCTTTATGAACCCCAAAATAACACTTTCAAATTAAAACAAAATGACAGTGTCTTTTTCAAGCCTGTTTTTTTTTCCAAAGAAAATCAGTGACACCTTCTCTCATGACTTCCTTCACTCTTTTTCTTTTTATGTGTTTTTTCTCCTCTACCCCTTCTATATCAATATATAACTTCCGTTGAGTTAACCGTTTAAATGTGTCAATGTCTGGACCTCCTCAAGTAATTTTAAGTATGAAAGAATAGAAATTTTAAATTACATCTAACTTTTCTCTCCCCCCTCACTTCCTCAATTTACATATGCTTCATTTTTTTGTTTCAACCTTTGGAAGTAAAGTCTGATGATCCACAGTCCTTTAAAAGGGCTGTGGTGAAATAATTTATTACATGGAACCTTAAAGTGGTCTGTTTTTATTTAAATTATTTGCTCTGGATTTACATTGAGCTCTCTGGATTTTATCCTCCTTGGGTTTACCCATACAGATTACCTAGTTTTTCATAAACTAAATATATATATATATATATATATATATTATAAAGTTTTCCACAACTGTGCAGTCTAAAAGGATGACATGCTATAAGGAGTATGCAGGTTCAAACCCTGTCAGAAGACAATTTTATTATTAAGACTTGAATGCACAGGTTGGCAGACATTTACAGACAATGTTTAAAAACAGCATGTATGTTTGCTCAAACATGTGTATTCACTAAATATGATGCTTAAGTTATAAAAAATGATATACACATGCACAAACAGAAATACTGAGAGGAAAAATAAAACTGTTAGACTTTGAAAAATGAAGTCATGATGTTCATGTGGATAAAATGTTCATAGGGAGTAGATATTTTGACAGAATATTCAAAGTTTTCAGCCATCTTGTGATATAGTAACACTTGTACCGAACCATCCATGCCCGAGTTTTAAATGGTGATGCGTTCTGTGACAACATTTAGTATGGTTAAATAGAACATCGGTTGTAGGAAAAAGCCACTTAACAGAACCATCTGTGCAAGAACAAGATTCATTCTTTAAGAAAGTGTTTGTCCTTTTAGGTTGAAAGCTGTTTAAAAGAAACAGCCATTTATTGGCACTAAAATTCTTGGCCTTCATGTGTTTCACTAAAGCATAATCAAATATGTATACAAGGGGTGCTGAAAAGTTATTTGCTTAGCTCATTTTCCAAAATCATTGTCATGCCAGAAAAATTTTCTCGTCAGAATCTATCTTGAACATTATAAATCTACCATTCGTTAATGCATTGAATACTGTTGCCATATCTGGTCTGGTGCCCCAAATATACATCTCGAGATTCTTGATAAAATCCCAAAAAGGATCTGTAATGTAATCAATCCTGACCAGTCATCTCGACTTCATTCACTTTCTCACCAACATGACGTGGCTTTTTCTCTGTCTGTTCTACAAATATTTTCATGGCAACTGCTTTGATGAAAGGGTGCCCCAACTAATTTAAGAATAAACAACTAGGCTCCACCATTTTACTGCTGAAACAGCTAAATACAACTACCACTTCTACTACTCCAACAGTTAATTTTCTCACATTTCCCATCTGTGGAACTTGCTTTTGTTTTCTTTCTTGCTTCACTGATAACTACAATCTTCAAAAATTTATAAATTATGAAAAATTAAAGACAGACTTGCCAGTTCTTTTTAATCAAACTGTTTTGGAGATATATATATATATATATATATATATATATATATATACACACACACATACATACATACACACACACTAATAGTAATACTCATTGGAAAAAAAACTTCAGATAGCTCAATTTGCAGATATGTCAAAACAAATTTGTAGCCGAGGAAAAAATTGGAAATAAAAAAAAAAAGACAGAACTAAAAACATTCGAACAGGGAGAAATAAATCGACCAGTGCCTTAAGTCTTTAGTCCAAAGAAAAAAAACCCAAGCAAGTAGAAAGACTAAAACGTCTAGTGCTCAATACACTAAGTAGAGCAGGAATAACTAAAATAAATCCTAAAGAGCCAGGAAAACCTACCTAAGTTTCACTTAAGTGGATCGTGTGTGTAAAATGAAATCAAATGAAGTATAATTCCACTGACCATAACATTTAATTTAAAAGAGGGCTCAATACAGAGTAGTTCTAAGCAATATTTATTTTAGGATATTAAAACAAAAATATGCTCAAAATTGCTACACAATGGCAATTGTGTTTCAACACTACAAATGTGTCTCCTCAGGCAATGGTAAACTACTAGCGAGTGAACGATTAATTTCAAAAGCAGAATACTACTTTGAAAAAAAAAAAAAAAAAATTAAAAACAGGCTTGTGGGCTTTATCGTGATTAACCAATCAAATGTGACCTACACTAAATTCAAACTCACCAAAAAACATTTTTTTTATTATATAGGTCATGACACAGTTGTCTGCATATAAATCCTAGACAATTTCATTATGGACAGATATAAATGGTTATATTATTTCATAAGACGTATAGAAGTCTGGCGTTCAACTTTCTTAAAAAGTAAAAGCAAAAGAGGTGGGGAGGTAATTTAACATAATGCTAACTAATTATCTCCTCTGTCAGCTTCCTACATAAAATTGAGATTGGCATGTTAAATATACAATATTTTGAAATTTCTCAAGATTCAAGACAAGTCAGTGTTTGAAGACAAAAAATATGAAATAAACAATAATGATGCAAACCATTTGTTGAAATAACATGGCACCGGTGTTCAAATTTGGTACCAGACCTTACCTGCATTAAGAGAGGAGGTTTTTTATGAGGTTTAGTCCGTGAATCTGAGTTAGATCGCGTCCGAAAAATGTTAATAAATTGTCCGACAGGTGTCGTTGGTCCTGAATTGTGTTTGGATCGACCTACCATTTGCTCCTCGAGAATCTGCCCCATTGGTGACAGCGTGCCCGGACTAATTGTAGGAGAATGGGAAGTGTCGTTCTGATCATTTACAGAGCCTGGAATTGATAGGTGATGTTCCTCCATTGTGTGGGGGTCATTCGGGCTGGAAACTGGAGGCTTCTTTGGCTTTTTGACGCCCGATAAATCAGATTTTGATCGTGGACGAAATGTATCAAAGAAACTCTTCATTTTTGAAGCATTTGGAGAGTTACCTTTGCCCTCGTCACCAGATTTGCTCCGGTGACGACATTCTTTTTTGCCTAAGATATTTGTCTTTCGACTTGTGGACCCACTCCGAAATCGATACTCATTGTCCAGTTCTGTTTCGGGCATGCCATTTTCCAGCAGGGGCATAGCGAAGGCACTTAAATCCTGCAAAAAGAAAAAGAAAAAAAAAGAAAAAAAAGAAAATTAATCAAAAACAGAAGAAATAAGACTTCTTTTGCTGATGTATATCAGCCAAGAATGGAACAATGGGAAATCCCCAAAGACTAAATAGCATCACTGGAAAGCATGTATAAAATACAACATTGTACAGAGAACACAATGAAGACAAGGTTTTCATTTCAAAAAGAGGGATGTTATATAAGTATTATTTGGCACTTTACAGACAAAAAAAAAAAAAAAGAAAAAATTTTTTTGACACTCTTTGATTCTGAGCAGCTTAATTTTAACTGCCTTAAAAAAATCTTTTTTACCTTCCATCAGTATGGCTGCTGCTAACTCCTAGAACAGTTACTCTTTGCACCTTGGTCTAACATTGATATTAACTGGAATGACTATATTGAGTCATTTGTTAAGTCTCTTGCTAAGAAAATTGTTACACTGTGTCATGCTAAACAATTTTTCTCACCAGATTCAATCCTATATAATTCTACCATTCATCTGTGCATTGAATACTGTCAACGCATCTGGTCTAGTGCTTCTGCTATGTATCTTGAGTTTTTGAACAAAATTCCAAAAAAGAATCAGCAATATTATTGGTCTCATCCTGGAAACATAATTTCACTTACTTTCCCATTGATTTAATCTAGCTTCCTCGTGCTTTTTCTATAAATATTTTCATGGCAATTGTTCTGATAATCTCTCCTCCCTCATTAGGTGGTCAGTGATGTCAGTTCGCTGGTGGATGCGGGGCGCCTTTCGTTTTGCATGTGTGTGTTTTCGTATTTTTTGTTGTGTCTGAATGAGTGTGTCTGAGTGCTTGGGATGAATAAATGCTTTATATTATTATAGTCCTGCATTTCGGCCAGTTAACTCATATTTCTGCCACATTTAGTGATCGGGGGAGGGGGGGTATTACTAACATTATTTTCTTGTAAATAGTTTTGTTTCATATTGTAAATACTCATTGGGGTTAGTTTTTTTTTAGAATTGTTGTTTTATTCACCTCCCCCTCACACACAATGAATTGTACATATGGGGACTAGTTAGGACTTTCATAGAGACAATGAGGTATTATGGTGGATGCAGTAAGAAAGGTACATAAGAATGTGTTGTTTTGGTGTAAGGAATATTGTTTTTTATATGATTGGGTCAGTGTTTGTCGCTTACTAAGTTATCATTAAGACAGAACAGGACTGTCCTTTCCCCAATCCCCATTTTTGGCCTTATGCCACATTTCTGTGTATATATCAGAATAAATATCGTTCTTCCCCTTGGTACCTTGACTTCACAAATTTACATATAGCACTAGTTTTAGAGAAAATGGAAAAAAAGGACACGTCTACTTTAGGGTAAATAATGAGAAAAGAGGACTCAGAAAATCTGACACTCACAGGACATATTAAGAGCAAGAGTGTCAGAGGAAAGTAGCATATAATCTAGGTATAATTTCCAGATCGCTAAAAAAGCGTATAGTCTGATGAAAAAACGTCAAACTTGACGAAAAACAAAATTTTATCGCCAAAATGTCTATTTTACGAGTAAGAGTAAAGAACAAAGTAATTTTAATTATTTTTTTTTAAAATTTTCTGTCTTTATTACAACATTCTAACTTTAAATTGAAAAACCTTGTTTCTCGTCATCACCGGAACTCTAGTAAATAACATGGCGAATTTTTTGTGCATTTTTTCTTATGACACATTAATTTTGAAAATCTTGAAAAATAGAAATAATTGTCAGATTTTAATGAAACTTTCAGAAACTATTCAGGAATGATGGAAATTATTATAAATATGTTATTTTTTTTTTAAAGTCATTATAAAAATATATTTTTTATACATATATACCACCCCCATAAATGAATTAAAGAAAACTGTAAAAGTTTATGGACGAAGCAGGAAGTCATTATATTAATAAAAACACAAGGCTTTAAGGAAAGTAAATCAGGTTTTTTTTTTTAAAAAATCCGAACACATAAACGCTAAAATCAGCTCTGAATTGTAACATACAAAACCCAATAAAACAAAAATACTATTTAATTTTAAATGCTTTTAGTTGCTTTTATTTGTTTTTATCAATATGCATAATATTCTCTGAAGGCAAAAAATTTTTCGATGAAAATGAATTTTAAATGAATTAATTGTTATTTAATAAATTATTTTATTATTTTTACATAAAGTTACTAAAAGTTGTTAAATATTCTAAAATTAGGTACTGACGAATCCTGTATATAATGCTATTTTTTAGGTACCTATATCTGTACAGATTATAAATAGTACAAGGTTTTTTACAATCAACGAAAAAGCAATGAGAATAATCTTACTGTCCTTTAACCTATGTGTAGAAAAAAAAATCTTAAATCAAATGTACGGAGGCCCGGAAGAAACATGATCCAATAAAAACATCACGACTTGATTTGTAATGGCACTGTTAACGGCCTTTATATTTATATAAAATACTTTAAAAAATTATAATAATTTCCATCATTCCTGAAAGTTTCTTTAAAATCTGACAATTATTTCTATTTTTGCAAGATTTTCAAAATTAATGTGTCATAAGAAAAAATGAACAAAAAATTTGCCATGTTATTTACTAAAGTTCCGTGATGACGAGAAACGAAATTTTTCAATCAAAAGTTAAAACGTTCTAATAAAGACAGAAAATTATTTAAAAATACTGAAAAATTATTTTGTTCTCTCCCCTTAATAGTAACATAAACATTTTGGTAATAAAATTCTGATTTCGTCAAGTTTAAGGCCGTTTTTTCATGGTATGACTACTTAAAAATAACGAGGTAAATAAGTTGTTAACGTAAAGATAAATTGTCACTTACGACCTTCCGTACTATAAATTTCCGCACGTAATATGTCAGTGCGTGATTAAAAACACGCACTTGTCATTTGTCAATCAACACCGCAGTTCAGATCGGCTTTCTCCCATTTGAAAAAAACATGTTTTCATCACAGAAAATAAGCAATCTTTGTTTCAAAATATACTAAATAAACTTTCTAATTTCTAATTTTTTTAAAATTAGTTAAAAAAAAATCATAATTGATTTTTTAAATAAATTTTAAACGGCAACATTCACTTTTGTAAACAAACATCAAAAACAACGGGAGATTATCGATCGTCTGTCGATTTTTCCGATTCAAAAAAATTGAAGATTTTTAACGAAAATTTTGGACGTGCTAGAAATTATTAAAAAATTTTTAAAAATATTCAAAAAATACTTTGATCATTCCTCTTGATAATAACATTAACATTTATACGATAAAAAATTATTTTAATCAAATTTAAGGCCTTTTTTATTCAAGGTATGCTATTTTTTTATCGATTCATGCATATACCTAATATAATCTATCTAATGAGTTTGTATAAATGTTTGGTAGAATAAGGATTAGGAGAGATAACAAAAAGAAAAAATTTCAGAGCCACAAAGGTTTGGTTTGTTGTACAGCATATCAATCTCAATGGGTTATTTAATGCTTACAAGTTTTTTAATGCCGGTAATATTTTCTCTTAAAAAATGTATTGCTGGTAATAATTTAAAAAAAAAAAAAAAAAAAGTATTGTTGGTATTAAAACCTATTTTTACACTTTCATAATGTTTTGATCCCAGTTTGGGGGTTAACTATAGCTGGCACCCTAACAGATGCTACCACCCAAGGTCAGGGTGGACCTGGGAACATCAGCTATTAAGAGATGGTTCCATGCTCCTCAAAGATCAGAGGCCTTGCTGTCGGATGTAGTTTATCGTCCGATACAGGACGGGAGTCACAAAGGACAGGAAATTGTGGAGATTCATGATCACCCACATTCTAGAGAGACATGGTACATTTCTTGATTAAGCCATTCACAATTTATTTGACTATTAACAGAATCTATTAAGAAGTTTGCCAAGTAATTAACTTCTAAATCAGTCTCTCATATTTGTTTTTATTATTGTTCTAAATCCGTCTCTCATATTGTTTTTATTATGCAATCATCATTTTAGATTGAAAGAAATTTCAGCAAAAATGGACAAAAATGCCTGCAACAAAATGTAGTGCCAAAAGAATGACACTTATCAATTGAGTTTTCAATGCATCTTTGAATAAATTATTTATCTTTTATAAAATGGCATTTTCCAGCACACATATAGATATACACATATGCAAGTATACATATGCACACTAACATATACATGAATTACATTTTATTGATTTTGGGTTATTTCATTTTATAGTTAAGGCTTCTTGTACTTTTTACAGTTTATGTGGTAATGCATTTTTGTTTAATTATTCATAAGAATTTATTCAATTTCTTTTATTGCTTGGTAATATATAATTGAGCTATAAATCACAACTGGTATGATAATATAGTGATTATTGGAGTCAAGTAACACATACATTGGTTATATAACTCCTACATTATCATACCAGCTAACTTGTGATTTATCTGATAATAGCACAATTAAATCACATTTTTGCCAGGCAACACAACCCAGCAAAAGATATTCTCCAAAAGGACAAACAAATCAATAGACAACAATGATTTGTTTTGATTTATTTTTGTATCATTGGTGCTGTTCAACTTTGAGGCCTTTACTTCTTTGTAATAAGCAATAAACTTTATTTTTGTCCATACACTTAGCTAGCTTTATCCAACAGTGCAAATTTCTATGAAACATCACGCTTAAAATTTGAATCATTATTAGCCTTGCTAGATTGAGATTTTCATATGGATGTCATGCATGTCACCAAACCCATTCAGAAATATGTAAACTGTCAGCTGTATACAATCACTTTTTAAGATCAATGGTGAAAAAACAATTTCTGTGAGTAAATCCTAAGGGTCTTGGCAAAGGTCATCCTTCTTTGAAGAATCGCAAATAACTCTATCAAATAGCAGAAAGTACATAACTTGATGAATACGAACAAAAGTGTTGTAGCATACCTATGGACAATAATGGTTATGTTCCCATTCAAATAAATACAGTAGTAAATTCTGTATGTTGGTCTGCAGTTGGAGATTCATTGTGGAATTCACTTGACTCAAATCTAGCGGTTGACTACATCTTTTACGTGCCACTGGCGAATCTTATACATGTTGTTCTTGTCCTAAGTATTATCGTTCATTACCAAACTAAATTTGATTATTGTATTCAGTAACCTACGCTAAAAAACAACAACTAAAATGGATTGCATATGTAACTAGAAGAGAAAATAATAATATAATCAAGATGTTAACATTCCACACTACTTCAATTAAAAGGTTAGGAAGGAAACCCCAATCAAGACTGGAAAGAGCAATAACAGCTACTGGATTGAAAAACCTATTTTTCTGAAAAAGTGTTTGAGAAAAATTTTATAAATTTCAACCAAAAGTGGTATTGACTGCTCAGTCAATGAATGCTGAATGTTTCCTTGTAAGGAAATGGCTAATATTACCATTAGATCTTTTTGCTTGACCTACTTTGTTCCTTATTTTCATCAATGACCTTCCTGATGTCATCAGTTCTTGGCTTGGTATCTCTGCTGATGATCCAACCATTTAATAGTAAGTATGATAATTTCGATAAAATCAAATTGGTAGGTGATCTCAAGAAGAGCCTTCAACCTGTTGTTAACTGGGGCAAGAAGTGGCTTGTTAATTTTAATGCTCCAAAATAAAATTGCTCTTTATTAATCTTTAAAGAATCCTCTTCATGGCTGATGCTAACCTCCAGGAGAGTGACTCATTGTTCCTTCTTGGGCTAACATTTTCTGCCGACATGAAGTGGAAAGATGATATTGAATCAGTTGCTATGTCTGCTGCAAGGAAAGTTTGTTCACTATGTCATGCTAGACAATTTTTCTCTTCAAAAACTATTTTGGACTTTTATAAGTCTACCATTCATCCAACATTGCTGCCACATCTGGTCTGGTATTCTAGGTGTCTAGAGATTCTTGGCAAAATCTAAAGAAGAATCTGCAACATATTATTCCTCGGCTTCAGTCACTTTGCCACTAGTTTCCTTATGGCATTTTAGAAATATTTTTACAGTAATTGTTCTGACATGCTTATATCATTGCTACCTTGACTTCATGAATTCAAATGATGTACTGGATTGGCAATTAGGTCTTATAATTTCACTGTTGAAGTGCCGTAATGCCAAAGTGATATGTATTGATGTGTAAGGTTCCTTAGAAATTTTTTATCTACTTTGTGGAGTGGTGAAAAATTTGGTCTGAGAGAAAGAAAATTTTAAATCCCAAATCATGGAGGAGGGCAGCAGGAATCCACCCCACTATCTTTCTGAAGAATGAATTGCCTTATGGCCATATCATGGTAAAATACAGGTTCCTGTATGATCAAAGTTAAGCAACATCGAGCCTGGTCAGTACCTAGATGGGTGACCACTTGGGAATACCAGGTGCTGTAAGTTGGGTGTGTGGGTTGTTTAATGGAATTGTTAATCAGAGACCAGAGTTTTAATTTCAGTTGGGTTCATTATATTCACTTACACACAAATACCCTTGGGAAAAATATAAATCCACCTCTTCTCTTCCAGCTATGGGTTAATTAGTAAGACTTGTATCACTAAACCTGTATTATCTATAAAAAAAAAAAAATAAAAAAAATTCAATTCTTACAATCTAAAAATGTTTTCTGGCATTCAATAACCTGGATTTTTTTTAAAACATTTCCCCACTAACCAAGGTGGTAATGCCACTAGGCTACAAGGAGTGTAAGTGAAAGAAAAGATGGAGAATAGGGTGGGGTTGAGGAAAGGATAAAAGATGAAATGGGTTCAAGAAGACAGAAGATGGCGATTGACATTGCATTTATATCTTTGAAGTTATCAAGGAAGCAAAGAAATGAAAGAGAATTCCAAAGCTGGGAAGTGTGAGAAAAGGAACTTTTCAAAGTGGTAGTTACATTAAGCTAGTTCAACAGTAAAATAGTGAGAATGGGCAGACAAGCTGTAGAAAATGACTGAATTAATAAAAAAAATAAATAAATAAAATATAATGAATGGCAATTTACAAATAAAGAAAAGGAATCTGTGGAAAGTCATGATCACTTCTGTCCTGAAGGGACATATTTTAAAGAACAATGCAAATACAAATTTAGTTAAATATGGCTGTCATTTTTTATGGCATGGGTAAAAAAGTTATTAAATAATACTTAGGGTTGAATTTAGAGACGCCATGACTTGAATATCATACTTATAATAGGACTAGTAATGGAAATAAATTTATAGCCCATTAGCGCTAATAAACGGTAACAATGATGGAAGTTGTAGATTGCAAAGAACAGGGTTGCTTAATGTCACAGACTCTACCAAAGAGGAAAAATTAATGAAAGCAACAATGAGAACAAAATGAAACCATTTAGCTTAACCTCATTCCAGGATGATGGAAAGTAGGTCAGGCAATTATGGAATACTGTAGGTAATATCTCTGATAAACTTATTTCAATAAGAATTTCATCCCAAGAAAGGCAATAAAGCCACCAAGATACAAGGGGTTAAAAAGTGTAAGAGAAAATGAGAAAAACAAAAACATCAAGTAGAGAGAACAATAAAAGAACAGGAATTAAGACAGAAGATAACATTCCATTAAAATGTTTGAGTGATTTTTTTTTAGGGCTTAGCAACCCTTTGCAGGTTATTTAAAGCCAGAAAATAATTTTATAATGTAAGAATTTTTTTCTTTTTTGGAGATAATGATTTAGTGATACAAGAATTACTAGTTAAATATCTGAGAGGAGGTAAATTCATATATTTTCTAAGTGTATTTAGGTGCATTTAACAAACCCAACTGGAATTGGAACTTGCCTCACCAATTCACAATTCCAAGCTATTATTCATTACACCACCCAGTATTCAAAAGCAGTCACCCATCAAGGTACTGACCAGGCTTGATATTGCTTAATTTTGGTGACTGTACTGGAGCTTTCAATATAATGTGGCTATAAGCTTATTTAAATTTTTGAAGATCAAAGTTGACTGGAAAGCAAGAAGAGATTTCCTCAAGCAAGAAGTGTGAGAAGAAACTGTTAGCATAGAATTTATGGTTACATCTAGCAATTTCAACTATAAAATGATGAGACCTAGCTGCCAATCTAGTACTCCGCTTAAATTTGTAATGTCAAGACACCAAAGAGAAAAGGCTGGAGGGCACAATGGCTGAAACCTTGTGATAACAACAACAAAGATGAGGACAATAGTCGAAATATAAATAGTGTAAATAGAGCTACAATATGTATAATTTATTTTTTGCTTCTCGATATTACCTAATGGATAAATAACAACTCTTTTTGTTAATTCCACGATAATTTCATTGATTGATATTTAAAAACAAGCAAAGGCAATTTAGGAAGGTGAGAACATTAACTGAAAATAAATCATTTACAACATGAATGTAGGCAATAATGAGAAAATTAGTTTCGCTAATCATGAGAAAGAACCATTTCCTAAAACTCAATGCACCCATATTCTCATATATACAGGATGTATCAAAAATACTTTTACAAGCTTTGGGGGCATTTTCCTTACACCAAAACAAGAAAAAAAAACTTCATAGAAGCATATGTCTACAAATTCTTTGTTTTTGAGTTATTAAGTTTAAAGTAGATGATGTTAAATGTACAATCCAAGACACAATCCCAAAATACTTTTACGGACTTTGGGGCCATGGATCCTGTCTCAGCAACTCAACGAGGTTGGATGACTTGATTGCCTTTGGTCTGGAAATGCAATCTGATAAAGCCGTGCAGCCTCGCAATCGTATGTAAAAATCATAACTGGGTGATCACAATTTGAATATTCTGCCATTGTTAAACAGAACACTTCTCTGTTAACTCATTACTACTCACATTAAACATTGAAGACAAACTAACAATTGTACATGAATGACAAATGTAACCTAGTCTACATAGCAACACAGTGCCATCTACTGTAAACTTTCTTTAGACTTAACTCAAAAATGAAGGATTTGCAGACATATATTCATATGGACTTTTGTCCTTGTATATATATTATATATATATATATATATATATATATATATATTTAGGAATGGATTTTTCATCTATTAGTCTGACATAATTTATTGCTTTAACATTATTTTTAGTGGATAGCCATATTTGAATAGATGTTCAGTTTTTATTTATTTATTACACAGTATGTTTATTTATTTCCACCTACTGGCCTGAATATTTGAGAAATCTTATTAGAAAAATACACACACTCTGGCAGGATTCAAACTAGGGGAAACCATCATTAGATCTGATCTGATGCTTTAACCATTCGGCTACAGAGAACCTAAAGGTCAAACAAAGTCAAAATAGTGCTTTTGAACACAGACATTTCACGATTCTTGAAATACACATCTCTGCTTAGTTTTGTATCCTAATGTAAAAACAATTTTTAGGAATTAATTTTTCATTTATTTATCTGACATTTTATTTTATTACTTACATGTTATTTTTAATGGATACCCATATTTGAATAGATGCTTTATGCAAGTAGGTAAATTATCTGGGGAAAAATGTGTATTTCTTAGTAATTACAGTGCACATGTACTGTATACGTAAAGTAACTGGTCATGGTTAAATGTAATTGGCAGAAATGCCCAAAAAACAGAACTGATAAATATCTGTCTATATTTCTGAGATGAGTTATTGTGACACATGGCCCAGTGTATAAAAGCATTGATTGAGTAATCCAAAGAGTTGTGAGTTCAATACCTGCTTACAGCAGAGGGAACAAAAACTTAGGGAGTTGAGTTCCTAAATGGAATTAACCGAGATATATATAAGGCATGGTACATGGAACAATACCCCCAACCCACCCACTGCTGGACTAAAGAAAGGGTTTGGCCCAAATTCCAATATATATCACCTGAAGAAGGTCGGAGTGTACAACGGCTGAAATAAAGATGGGGACAACAGACCGAACAATGTAAATAAAAAGTTTCCAACAACAGAGGAAAAACTAATACCAAGCAAACAGTATATACATTTTATTGCTTACACATTATTTTTAGTAGATACCAATATTTGAATAGATGCTCTGTTTGTTTATTAAACAGTATATTGATTTATTTCCAACTACTGGCCTGAATATTTGAGAAATCTCATTAGAAAAATATGTGTACTCTGGCAGGATTGAAACCTGCATTTCATTAGTGGAAACTGTCACTAATGTGCTTTAACCATCCAGCTACAGAGAACCTAATGGTCAAACAAAGCCAAATAGTGCTTTTGAATAAAGATCTTTCCTGATACTTGAAATATACATCTCTGCTCAGTTTCAGATCCTAATGTAAACAAAAACAATTTTAAAGAATGGAGTCTTAATTTATTAATCCAACATATTTTTATTTTATTGTTTAAATATTTCTTGAATATTCAGGCCAACAAATGGAAATGAATAAATATACTGTTTAATAAAGAAAAACAGTACCTACTCAAATATGGGTATTCACTAAAAATAACATTTAATCAATAAAATAAAAATATATATGTGCATGTGTGTGGTGAGGCATGGTGGAGTAATGGATAGTGGCTTGGAATGAGGAATCAGAGAGCTGGGTTCAAATTACAGTCGAGTTTGTCGTATTCACTTACTTGCAAATACCCTTGGGAAAGGTATGAATCAATCTAGGATTTACTGCTCTGTAAATAGCAAGACAGACTAGGTCCAGTATTTACATTAGTCGGACTATTGTCCTCATCTTTGTCGCCATATTTGTCACAACGTTTGACCGTTGTCACGCTCCGCCTTCTTCAGGTGGTTGGAATTTCCTCAAGGACACATGGCACAGTGGATAAAGGCGTTGGTTAGATCCAGTGACAGACCCAAAGAAGGTGAGTTCAATTCCTGGTTAAGGCAGTGGAGAACTTTCAGAGGAAAATTAGCAGGAGATAACTGATAACTGACATCCATCAAAACATGGCACGTGGAATTAGAACAGTCTACCCCAGTGATCAAATAAAGGGTTCAGTTCGAAATTCCAACCACCTGAAGAAGGCGGAGCGTGCACAACGGCCGAACGTTAGACAAATATGGCGACAAAGATGAGGACAATAGTCCGACTAATGTAAATACTGTACATAATACCTCATCTCAGAAATATAGACAAACACAGACTAGGTCCTATAACATTGAGTGGCAATGAGTCTATTGTCTTCATCTTTCATAAATGAGAACAATAGTTCAAATATAAATAGTATAAATAACGATAAGCCCTCATCCAAGAAATTCACTCATAAATATTGTAGCTCTAATTAATATTTGTATTAATTCCTGACCATTGACAATCCCTTAAAATCATTAGCAATGCATTGTCTCAGTCATGATTGATTTAATCTCTAATCCATGAAAATCTTTTTAATCTCCTTATTTTCATTGTACAATATGAAGATCGAGTGCCA